AAATGTAAAATAGTAGCTCTTCCAGAACAATTCCCTAAAGGATTTTTTTTTTTTTTTAAATTTCACAGTTAAGAATGCTTCGCTCAGTTTCCCTTAATGCAGTTCAGAGTAACACATCTATCTTCTCATACCCCAGAAAAAGGGCACAAATACTTTTTTAACTCCAGAGCAGACAGCTCCCAGCAAACAGAAAAGAGCTAGATACCCTCCCCACTCCTCAGTTTTAGATGAAAAATTTTTAAAACTTAATTTCCTTCCTTTGACACTCAGATGTGCTGCCACAGAGCTCTTCAGTTACGGACAGAACAAGACCATTACTAAAGGAGGAGATTTGCAGATCAGAAGTCTAAGAAGGTGACTTCTGGTCTGTGATCCGAGTTCTGTTAATCATCTCCCTGAAGTTCAGCAAACCCTTTTTCGGAATGTCTGTAATAAAAATATTGAAGATGTACAGTGAGGTACATGACATTTTCAGCCTTTAAATATGAAACATTTAGCAGAATTTATTAATTATGACTGGACAAAGTCAAGCCATCTTATTATACCTTGTTGTCTCAGCAGCAAACCCCAAATAAATTTGGTTTAATTAAAAGAAATTTTACAAAAAGACAGCATAAGAATGAGAACTGAACAAAACAACAGATGACAGAAAAGTTGATTTTCAAGGTTGGTTCATTCCAGTAGTTCAACTATTGAAAAATGTGTTTTAATTTCACTTTGAAAATACCTGAAGTTTCCATCTTTGTTTTGAGTTTTTTTAAGGTAGGAAATTTAATTCAGCATTTCCATTTTTTTTTGGTCCCACCTCAGAAGTTCTTAAGAAGCAGAATGTTGTGGTTTAACACCAGCCAGCAACTAGGCACCACGCAGTTGCTCGCTCACCTGTCCCCTCCCTCAGTGGGATGGGGAAGAGAATCAGAGGGAAAGACAAGGAAATTTGTGGGTTAAGATAAGAACAGTTTAATGACTTAAAAAAAATAAAATATTGATACCAATAATACTAACAATACTACTACTACTATGTTATAAAAATAGTACTAGTAATATATAATGAAAATAATGCAAAAACCCCCCAATGCTACAACTGCTCACCACCTGCTGACTGATGCCCAGCCAGTCCCCTAGCAGCAAGAGCTAGAGCCTGAGAGACTGGAGAGCCCTGAGAGGTTCTCCACAACGTATATACTGAGCACAGTACTGAGCACAGTGTTTGATGGCATCAGTTTGGGTCAGGTGTTCGGGCTATGTCCCCTCCCACCTTCTTGTGGAGAAGCAGCTGGGAACACAGGGGCAGTATGGGAAACTGCAGAAGTCTGTGACTGGTAGAAGCATTGCTTGGCAACAGCTAAAAACATCTGTATGTTACCAATATTATTCTCAGCACAAATCCAAAAAACAGCCTCATAAGGTTACTTTGAGGAAAACTAACTATCCCAACCAAAACCGGCACACAGGTCCAACACCATAACCAGTATCAAACTTCCCAGTAACACACACATGGATGAAAATAATCTCCCATTCAACTCCATAAACCACAAAGGGGTGTAAATTGTTCTGCTGCATTGTTTTTCTACTGTCACTCAACTCCTTTCCAGAGTCCGTGCCTTTCACAGTTGGTTCCAGATGCTAACTTAGCATTTAGCTGTATTAAGGATGCAATTGCCCTGATGGCTACAGTTCACTATATTTTCATCACAGTTTCTGGCTACTCTTGCTTATCATTGCACTAACCTTTGGGGTTTCTAAGTTTATTGTCAAATAATTTCTAAGCAGCTGAGTATCACCGGTCCTACTTCTAAGCACTTCAGGAGCGCATTCCGACTACATCCATCCCACGGAATCACCACAAGCTCACTGCTTTTGGCATGCCACTAATTCAACATTTATTATTCCAGACTCTTGCTGCTCATGGTCTCACATGCCCATAGAATCACAGAATGGTTTGGCTTGGAAGGAACCTTAAAGACCAACTACTTCCAATCCCCCTGCCATGGGCAGGGACACCTTCCACTAGACCAGGTTGCTCAAAGCCTCATCCAGCCTGGCCTTGAACACTTCCAGCGATGGGGCATCCACAGCTTCTCTGGGCAACCTGTTCCAGTGCTTCACCACCCTCTCCATGAAGAATTTCTTCCTGATACCTGATCTAAACCTGCCCACTTTCAATTTAAACCCGTTACCCCTTGTTCTGTCACTACAGGCTCATGCAAAAAGGCCCCTCTCGCTTCCTTGTAGGCCCTCTTCAGGTACTGGAAGGCTGCAATAAGGTCTCCCCGGAGCCTTCTCTTCTCCAGGCTGAACAAGCCCAACTCTCACAGCCTTTCATCATAGGAGAGGTGCTCCAGCCCTCTGAGCATCTTTGTGGGCCCAGAACAACCCGTGCCCATGCTGAGGCCTGTCAGGCTTAATCAGCACGAGCAAGAGGAAGGTGCATCTCTCACTCTATTCTCCCTGCACAGAATAATGTAATTTAAAGATCATGGGACCTTTAGCTCAAGCAACTAAGCGGGGAGCAAGTAATGGCACCTCTGAGTGCTTGCACGATCTTCCTTGGTTCATTTAATATCGGATGGATTTTCACCAAAAAGCAAGAACAGCATGAGATAGCTGTTAATATATGCTAATTGTACAAACGTCTCCAGTGCTCTGATTAAAGCAGAATGTTTGCAAACGTCTCAGTGTGCTGTTGAAAAAAAGAAAACCCCAAAAACTAGCAAGCCTGATAGATGGGAAATAAAAAAGCACAAATATCCAGGTCCATGGAGATTTTCTTAGGAGAAAATATTCAGCTTTTAATTATTTGGTTGCGTGATAAAGGATTTCTGGGAAAGATAAGCAGAGGTGAAGACTGAGCCTTCATAAGCTGCCTACAAGAGCAAGTGACAGGATAATTACCTGTATTTCATGGAAGCTACGAGGAATTCCCAAGAAGCTCAGCTGCCTTGCTGCGAGGGAAAGATCATCAACCTCTACCAATTTCCTTCTCCCTTGTAGACAGTCTTAACCGCATATCCACATAAGTCTGTACTCAAAGAACTGCTTTGTGCCAAAAATACCAAGTTGATAGCTATGAGTGAGAATTTAAAGTTCATAAATGGTATGACATAAAATTACTAGGTTTTAAAGTACCGAGTAACAGTGAAATATTTAAATGTTAGTGTTAACAATACATTTTCTTAGCGCTTGACAAAATAATCTCAATTACTAGGACCCCCCAGTTACTCTTAGGTGCTGCTGAGCACTAAAATTTACCAGATATCTGAAAGAAAGAGATCGTGATAACATACAGTTCTGGGGTTTGGCCTAATAAGAGGAGGGGGGGAAAAAAAAAAAAAAATTACTGAGCCCACTGACCTTTATACCTCAGTGTTTCATTAGTAATGGTCTTCAGAAGTAATAAGCAATGTAACTTTACCAGTATTCTTAACTGAAACATGCCCAACCCACAGACTGCCCACGACTGATACCACGATAGACTCTGACCTTGCATTTACAGAGAGAAGTGTTAGCCTATAAAATACATGCGTAGCAAGTGTCCGTTCCTTTCGTTTAGGTTTAACTATCTGGCAGGCCACACAATCACCACTTCATCACAACATAAAAGAAATGGGGAAGAAAACAAGCAGTATCGCCTACAATCTTTTTAGCTTAAAACTTTAATTACTTAGCACGTGAAATGAGTTATGAATAAACTCATGCAGATATCCAGATTACAAAACAAAATACTTCGAATACAATAGCACATTTAAAATTTACTGAGTCAGATATCTACTCTGAGGTAAAAATGTAAGATTAATCAAATATTCTGAGAAATTATAGATTAGCATAAATAAATTAGTATTGAAATTTTCAGAACAATCAGTGAAAACAGCATTTTTATCACATTTATCAGTACAAGAAATACAGCCCATGTACCCTCCTTCAGAGTGTGATCCACTCATCCGATATAAAGCCACAAATACTACAAAAACACCTACTACCTAAGCACAGCAGCCAGTTTGCCCACAGCATAAGATTCCTACCTGCATATTGCGGCGTAGGGCCAAGTTATTTCAAAATATAATTTTGAAGATTAAGGGGTTTAATTACACAGCTTCTACACAAGTATAGTGAAAGCTGCACAACCAAATCCCTACTGAGTATTACAAAATGCCTTTGTCCAAAATGCTAAGTATAGAGACCTGAAATTCAGGTCAAAAATACTCGGCCAAGTAATGTCTACTTTTGTGCATGCAAGTGACAGCATAAACAAGTTCTGTGTTTGTGCACCTCAATGTTTTTTTTTGTTTGGGGTTACTAAGGAACTGTGTGAAGATCATGTAGCTGCACAGGGTTCAACTGCATATTCATGTTCCGAGTGACCACAGGCCTACTGCCATGAAATCTAAATGACAGCATTTCTCCAGATGACAGTGGTCTTTCCCATTTTTCTAACTCAAAGAGGAAAAAATTTCATACTTATTTACACCACAAATAGAACAACTAGAATACAAATTATAATAATGTATTATAGTCTGCAATAGCTGAGGTTTGCATCTCCTGAACCGAAATACTCGTATGAGCAATGATACAGGGAAAATTACATAAAAACTAGAATATAAATATTATACTGCACCATGAAACGCTACAAACAGAATATACAAAAATTCTATTAGGGCATTAATTATCTGTCAACCTCTTAAACAGAACACCTTAATATTAATACAGCTTGGAAGGTAAACATAACCTACAGGCTAAGTTTTCAAATGGCTGTTTGTCAATGCAGCATAAAACATTTCCATAGTGCAAATCTTACCAAATGTACGAAAGATACTGTCCCCTTCAGAAAAATACTTCTCACCCCACCTCAAAATCATGAGGAGTTATAATGTCATGTCTCATTTCACATTTAGTACAAGATGTGGTTTGAAACACACTAATATAGGGAAGCTTTATTTTAACACTGAAGAAAGGTTGAACAATGTTGAGAAATTAGAAGAAGTTAGATATGTTACAGCTGGAAGACACGAAACCCAAAAATCCGATCCGTGGAAGTGAGGGAATAAAAAGATGCTGAGTTTTCCTTTTTTCCAGCTGTTGGAAACATGGTGTATGACAATACAGCACACTCCCTGTATTGTACCAACAACTGTAAGGTTACTTTAATTGCTGAAGGATCACAGTGTTAAGTATATCTGCTTCTTGTAGTGTCAGGCTTTCATCTGTTAGCTCTTTATTTGGAAAGGTGGTCACAAGAACAAAATCAGTTGTTGCAAATGCTGGACGGGACTGGATAATGAAATCTCGAATATCCTTAATCCTGTGGAAAGGATACGGACATGAAAACTGTGTATGATTCCATCACGACATAAATATCTGAACATTAAGATCATCAGAGAACACAAAGCCTTCTAACAGACGACACCATTTAATATGCCCCCTTGATTTTACATTTCCATTTGATCCAGATGACTAAAGGTTGTAGCATAGAATTTTTTTCTTGCATAAAAAAATGTAAAAATGAAAATGAATGTTTCTTGTTTTCTCAAATTACAGAAATAAAATTTGTAACATAGAAGTTTATTGCAAACTGATACTTAACACAGGAAGTCAAGTAATTTCAACACCAGCTGTCAAAAATCTCATTATTAATATATTCAAGGAAGGCTAAATTATTAATGGAAGGAGGAATCTCAAAATATATGGTGACAGTGATGAGAAAGCAGAGGGGAATTACTAATGGACTTCAACAGAAAGGTTTCTCCTACTTTCACTTGGCAGTGAACTTCTGAACAGTAGTTCATAAAACAATCACATCAACAGTATAACAAGAATAATTTAGTTTTACAAGACATGAATGAAAAATAAGATTTTATAGATTAAAAAAACCTGAAAATTGAGGTTTCTCTCCTAAGACAATAAGCTGAGAACAAATCTTTGAAGACCTCTTGTTATTAATAAAGTTAATAACGATTAAAATCAGCTTCTGTCAACACACCCTCAGTTACACATATTACTGGGGCATTTACCACTCCTACCCTTTCATGCAGACAGAAGAAAGCACATCATGGCTACAGAGGCTCCCAGTAAGCCCTACTCTTTATCTCAGTCACTTCTCCAGCAGGTGCTGTGAAGAAAGGATCTGGGCCTGTACTACCAGTGCACATTACCAGGTCTGCTAAAATATGAAAAGTTACTGCTCTATCTTCCTCCCTATTGGCATCTCAGCTAAAATGGCCTCATTGTGGTCTGTGTATGTTGTTGGGTAAAGAAAGCTGCACACTGGCTCTGCCCTTATTTTGATGCAGAAGGAAAAAAAAAAAAAAGGTGAACTCTTCATGTAACAATTTTAACACAGAACTGACTCCGTGCAAAGACCACCTCCAAGGCAGGATTCAGGCTCAGTTTCAGCTGTGTTCTAACACAATGGTGCAGATTTCAGATCAGGTCTGGCTTGAACCCTGCTTGCGGTGAAGCATGGGTGGAACTACCGCTCAAATCCCTGACCTCTGCCCAAAGCGCTCTCAGACACGTGGTGCAAAGCAGAGCTTTGCAGAACCTTGCACTGACACAATCTCTTTGGCAAATAAATGGTGTTGGCCAACGCCATTTGTGGCAGTGTCCCAACAATGTCAATAAAACTGATGGCAAGCTCTAATCAGCAAACTCCTAACAGAGCTAAAAAACCCAACAAGTTCACACACTGCCAATTCCTAGGAGATGACCGTCCAAAATGAAAAAAAGGTTGGTTCTCAGCATTATGTCCAGCCCACAGGCCAGAACTGCAAATGGGTATGTTATGGTCATATACCCTCTGCATACAGGCTGCAGCCAACACTTATAACCCACGTCACGTTTAGTCACAGTCTCGGGTATAACGAGGTAGAAAACTGGAGCTCTTGATTATGGGCCACAGGATTTCTCTGCCTGTAGCGTGGACTATATTCCAACTGAGACCACACTCCACACCATGCAATTAAGTGCCTTCACAGTGCCACCGGAGTCAGCTACACGCTCCGCCCAACGAGGGCCCAGGGTTACAAAGACTACACAGTGAAGTTGTCCTGATTTCAGTCACCCTGAGCACAGTTCTGGCTGGTACCAAGTCCTTACAAACCATAGGACATAACTGGTCATAGAAATTTGTGACTTTGCAGTCATTTGTGTTTCCATGTATAGAATTCTGCTTTAACAGTCAATTTATCAGTACATCTACGTTATGAAAAAGACACAGAGCTATAGCATTTCAGTGGAACTGTATTTTCCCCTTTTTGATGTTCTGCTGATATTCATTTAATGACAAAACACAAACTTATCAAAGTAGTTATGGTTATCTGCATTGATGGAGAATCAATTTACCTGTGTGTTTGATTAAATCTTTGTATTAATCGGCTTCCATCTGCTAATCTAATTTGAATTTTAGTTGCTGGCATGGAATCATCAATCAGAACAGGTGCATTAAGAATGGATTTCTCCTCCTCCTCAGGGGAAGAAGGTGTGCTGACTATTTCAGGTGTAAGGCTAAAGGATTGAAAAAAAAAACCAAACCAGATGTTACTAATGGAGTCAAACCAAAAAAAAGTGAGTAATGTTTAAGCTGTTCTTTTCACTGAATGGTTACCAGGTATAGCTAGTACAAATGAGCAATGAAAATCCTCTCAATGTTATCTGACCTAAGTAGAAACACAGCTTTTCTAAGAGAGACACAAATAATGCTTTTGTACTTTCTTGTCAAGGATTGCAATATTTCATATTTATTTTTCTTATAACCGTGAATACCATTATATTTGCGTGATTTTAAATAGGTCATCAAGTACAAACAGAACTATCATTGTTTATGCTTACGGAGCATGAACTGACAGTCTTCGATACTAAGATTTATATATCATACCTGCTTGGACTATGTTAAAACCTAATCATGCACCATCACAGTGCACTAAGCTGACCCAAGCTGCTTTAGGAATTGCTTTCAGGAGCACTACTTTACGGTGCTGTGCATCCCCCACTCTTTTGAACTACAGATTATATTCACAGGTATTTGATATCATCAGATAATAAGCATGGAATTTTTTTACATTTAGTATAAAAATACTATAAATCTGATTGGGGACAGCCTTTTGGCTGCTCTGTTCATTGCTTACATACCTAAGACTTCATAAGCTACCAAAACAAACAAAAATGCCACACAACAGGTGTGTACATCTTCCGATATATGGAACCTCCTCTTTTCCCCATCTATTTTCTTTAATAATCTGGGCAAGTGCTCAGGTGAAGAAGTTTTCACATACATTGTTTGCTGTGTCACTCCTACCAGAGCTTACCACCTCCTCAGTTTTACTGAGCATATTTCCTCACTTTTAAAGATGAAATATACATTAGAAACAGTTAAGAGTCATGTATTGAATTAAATTACTTGCAGAACCACATCAGTAACTAACCTATTTTTTGGCAACCAAACATATTACATGAACAGGAGCCCAAAAGTATTTACAATTCAACAGCTAATATCAAGTCAGCTGAAAAAGTTACTATAAAGCCTGTAATTGCGATGTGAAAAAGATGATGATTGGCAGAGTTGAGGTCACATTAACATTTAGTTTTACTGACCAACTTAATGTGGACAGAGATTATGCACTTTCGGACAAGGTCTGCGATGTTCAGTTGTAGGAATGAATTTTAGCACGCCTTGTATCAGTTCAATGGAATAACACACGTTAGCAATCAGCCTACCCTTGCACTGGGACAGCAAATTAAACAGAACCACGTGTAAACTTTGCTAAATCATTAAATTCCATCTATTTTACTACAGATACTAACTTTATACTGCAGTTGGAGATGACACAAGAATTGGAGGAAGTAAGGGTCCAATCAGAGGTTAAAAGTTGAGCTGCTTCTCTCCCACAACCCCACCCTTGCAGTATTATTTCATCTAGGGCAGCATGTATAATTTCTCTGGTTGCGTGCTTTTAAAAAACACAGCTCCTACTATAAATTTTGCAGCATCATTTGAAGTTTTAATCAAATCATAGTAGAAGTTGAGAGATTTTGATACAACTTATTTGCATATTTATGTTGGATCAAACTTAAAACATAGTAGTTTATCCCATTACTTCTCTTTCTTTACGCAAGCAGCCTCATCTTGCGTAACTTACAATGAGTGACCACTAAAAAGGTTATTTTCAGTACAGTATTTCTGCTGCTTCACTCCAGAAAAAAATATGGGAGTTGCTCCCAAAGAAGAATACTTTCCACCTGCATTGTCAGGCATCAGCCATATTGCTGCAACAGCATGTCCTGTTCCCTCTGAGATGATCCCAGCAGTAAAAGACAACATGTACTGCAGCTAAGCCAGAGCAGAGTGTATCCTTACTGGCCAGTATCACACTGTAACTAAGTTCTGCCTGTTCCTCACTTTCTTGTGATGCTTGTACAGTACTAATCTCTTTCAGCTTCCTTTGCTCACGTTTTAAACACAGATGAAGTTAAAAAAAAAAAAGAAGAGGCAAAGATATATGCAAGAACAGGCAGAGAACGCTCAGTCACAACCAAGCATCTAGCAAATCTATGAGCAGTTCCAACAGAAGACTAAGACTTAACTTCTTTTAAGATTATATATACACTTTCATGATTATTGGTGACTCTGAAATCAGGGCAGAGACTTGTGGCACAGAATAATTTTATACTGCTTCTGTCATTTGATTAGCTTCTCCAACAGTCTCCTACTTGAATAAATCCAGTTTTTGAAACAGAACACAAAGATGGAACAGAAAATCCAGCATTTTTTACCTTCCAAGTTTCTGCCCTTCGCCACTAAAAGCTTTGAATCGCAGTCTAGGCTTCACATATTCCTGTTCTTGGTGGTCTTCCATATCCAAATTAACCTGGCCACCATGAACAAGTCGCTGCAGTTCCAAAGGAATTTCCCTTAATTACAAAAATAAAAATGTCCCAATTATGTTTTGAATTGAAATATAAAATTACACTAAAATCTTACACGGTACAATGTAAGTTGATACTATTAGTATGTTTACTTTAAAAGTCATAGATGTCTGTTTTTTGAATTGATTTCATCCTAAAGGAAGTAAAAAACATCAGTGAGCTGACAGTCAAAACCCAGAATGCGCTAACAAAACACGTGAAACTAAAAGCCATGTGTAACAAGTAACATTCAGAGTTAAACCACCAGAAGGAACCAGTGTTCCAAATTTTTAAATGCCCCATTCATCACAGACACAGAATATATTTTGTGGGCGCAGGCAGAGAAGCAGCCTGGAGAGTCTAATACTTATGTACACGTGGAGAAAGCCTTTTCTTTCACTTCATTTGACATACCTCAAAAGGTTGCCACTTTAACTTACCCTCTTTTAACAGACTCGAGAAACTGAGCATTTGTAGGGTCTGAATAGGATCTCAACTCGCCATCATCTAAACTGAAGCCATTCCTCCATAGCTTCAGCAAAATTTGAACCTACAAAGCAAAAATGGTGAAATAAAAGAAACTCAAAGATAGACAAATAAGGTACTTCAATTTCATACATATTAGTTATACAAATTTTGATCTATACTTAACCGATTTTGTAGCAGACCACATACAAGAATGCAAATAACAAAAGAACAGAGCACTGCTCTGTAACTATCATTATTAGAATCCTAAAAAAAAGCAAGTAATAGTTACAGGCTACCATCTGCTTCAAGACCACTTCTACAATTGGGGAAAAAAATCTCTTAATCTGCTATTCATGACATAACAGATGATACCAGTGATTGTGCAGTGATCTTCACAGCATTTAAATTACTTTCAAAACCAGTAAACATTTCTTGTTGATAAATTAAGAAATGAATCCATAAAATTACAAATTACTGCTGATACATCACTTACAGCAAAAACTGTTCTTTTCTCAATTTATTACATGCTGAGCTCCAATAAAGCTGATGCTAGCGCCATTCAGTTCAAATGCTGGGAATCCTGGAAATCAGCCTCCTTAACCCCACTCTTATTTTCCAGTGAGCTTGTACATCCAGCCAGAGCCTTTCACCTTCGGAGCCTGCACCTCTCTTCCCTGCAACTGCTTGCAGTCCAGCACAACAAGACTTCTCCAGCCAGTATAGACCTTCTCTTAGAAAACTATCCTTGCCCCAGGTTACGGTAACCCCACTGCAACAGGCTTCTGGCTATAACTTAGCAGGCAGAAGGCTTACTTAAGAGAGTAGAAGGTAGCAGCTCCGGGTGTGCCATGATAGCACTCCCCAGACTGAACCACATCCTTTGGCCTTACTCATTTTTTGGGTTTGTTTCTTGATAAGCTTTTGCTCTAGCCATTCACACAACTGGCAAAGCGTAGAGAACTTTGCTTTTCCCCAGTCTCTCCTTCACTTCCTGCTTTTTAAGTGAGAGCAAAGAAAGGCTAGACAATTCCTGAAGGGCCTCTAACCTGCTGTTTCACCATTCCTAGAATATTTCCACGCCCTGCAGTTTGTGACTGGCTACTTTGCAAGCCACAACAAGAAAGAATACCTAACCTAAGAGGATTAAAATGTTAGCATGGCTAAGAGAATGCAGAACAACAGCTGGAGGAAAGTGACTGAAAGGAATGCTTGCTAGGAATTTCAAAGTAATTTACATCAGGAAATTCCACAACGAGGCCTTAGAGGTATCCAGCGAAGATCTGTCCTCTGTGGACAATTTCTACTTAACACACACGTAATATTTAGATATTAGTCTTTTCTCACAGACATAGTTACAGCAATACTGGCATTTCAAGCTGTAAACGTGATTAAGCAGACATCTGTTGGAGATTCTGTTTCCTGCTATTCAGAATTTGACTTACATCTTGGGTTTCTCCATAGATATATTCAGAGTGCTTTTGTGATGAGTCACCCAATCTATATCCACCACCAGAAAAAGACTGGAAAAGATACAGAAAAGCTTACTGAAATAAATATCTGAAGTGGTTTGTTACAGTTCTTACCTAGGTGCAAATGAAAGCATCAGCAAGCTTGCTTCTGTGATAAAAAGCAAATATACTGTTCTAAGTTGTATACTTCCTGTGTGGAAAATTCTACCTAGTAACAGTAATCAGGCTAAGCAGGTTTTCTGTGATGCATTTCAGTTCCTAATCTGTACACTTTTTCAAACATTAACAATTGAACAGACAAGAGATTTCCATGGGGATGCAACTGCAGTTGATTTTTTTTTTTAATCAATTTTAATTAAAAAGAAAGAAAATAATTCCTGTTCAGGTTGATTTCTAATGATTCCCCCCTGAAATTGCATGGTTCCTCCCCGCTTTATTTTCTACAGCAAGATATTTGAGTGCAGATAGTACACAACTGCGTTGATCAAATCCCCTGCTATTCGCAGTCTACAAAAAGGCCTATTTTCTCCCATGTGGTTAGAGGAGTTTCAGAGAGACTGATGTAAACAGAGATCAAATATACTTTAACTTTTACCTTAGCTTTACTGAAATCACCAGATGCTCTTGAGGCTTCATCTAATGGGACAGCCCCATGTTCTTTTGCTTCTTTGAAGAGCTCAGCAACAATTTTACTCGGATTATTGGAAGCCCCAGAAATCTGTAATCCTCTATATTCTGAGTCACCTGAATAAAATCTTTAGAACAGTAATATTCATAAGGAACAATGTTTTAAATGACAAGCATAATTTTCTTTTTCCCATTAAAAGAAAAAAATTAACGAACAAAAAGATGAACTTGGCACAAAACCTCTTCATTCTGATCACAGAAATATAGCACTTGGTTGTGTCTTTGGCAGCAGCCCAAGCAGCACTACTCCAGAGACATTACACTAACAAAACTACCAAGGTGCCTTCTGGAACAGACCCCAGAGGTTAAGGGCCAAGGCCGTAAGTTTAAGTGAACGCAGTCCTTATGCAGCCATGGCTTTATACACCTCATCTTATGGGGATGTCAGCTGCTTCCAGAAAGACCAGTTTCCTCAGGGGTGTCCTGCACGTGGGACTGTGCCTGGGCTGGTCAGAATGCCATTTCTAGCTCTTTATTTGTAATTATTATTACAAATAATTCTGTGCAAAACTTTATCTGTTTGATTATGAAGACACTCCTTGAGGACTATCTTGAGGAAGGTGCCATAAATCACTACCAATCCATACCAATGGAATAGATGCTGTAAAAAAATCTGTCTATAAACACAAAACCTGGCAAACCTGAGTGTGTTTTGTCTTTGATTACAAGAAGTGTTAGTAATTAATAAAATAAGTATTTTCTACTTTGTTTACCTCTTTCACTTAACCACCTGGGGCAAGGCAAATCAATTGATCCACATTAAACTGTCTCTCAGGCCACCAATGACTTCAAAATGCTGCTGATTCCACCATATTTTACAATTACCTCAAACGAGTAGTGGGTACGAAGGTGCTGTACAATCATACTGCTTTTATGATGTCACGTGACTGGCAATCATTAGTATTAGAATTAGTATCATCTCTCCTTTGTACATAAATCTGTATTTGTTATCCCAATTTCCATTTACGCAAAATCTTTAATTATTAGATTTAAAATAATTATAGTGCTAAGGAGATGAAACAAGAATTGTCATAAAAATATGTATTCAAGAAAGAAAGGAGGTGTTCAAATATTTGAGTAATAGATACACAGAAGAACTCAGGACATGTGAGAAAAGGTTAAAAAAGCTTTTGAGTCCCAGTTTAAGTTACAACCTTTACATCCATACAGTCACATGGTAAGGCATCTACAGCTGCCAGATCACTACAGCCAGATTCTGCTAAATATAGTTTAGTACAGCAGTGTACAGCCAAAACTTACTGTAGTAAGTCACATAGCATCTCTGTAGTTACCAGGTCTTTGCAGGATAGGCTTAGCTCACACGTATTTTGAAAAACGGGGGGAACAAAGCGTGAATGTCACAAAAAGACCAAGTTACTTTCAGAAGAGTTAAATGATTTTTTTGTTTGTTTTAAAAATACCTTTGGTTTTCTTTGTCATCGCTCATGCTTCTCTCTGGTTTTCTCAACCTCCTAAGAGAATCAATTTTAAGACTGCCAAAAGAATAAAAGAAAAAGTTTGAAGATGACTGGCACATACACTTCACTACACCATGTCATATCTAACTTCTGAAACTACCTATTTTTCAAAACCTAAGGCTATCAAGCTGTTGGGTTTTTTTTTTCTTACTTTTTTTGACCAAAGTGCATAGCCATGGCTGCTTCTCAGTGAATAAGCAGGAAAGGGCGCATGTATGACAGAGTCATTGTGCAACAACTGTTGGACTAGATGATCGCCGTAGGTCCCTTCCAACTGAACTATTCTCTTCTAGCATAGGTTATGCAGGATTCTGCTTTCTGCCAGTGCAGACTCAACAGCTGTTTCAGAATCTAGCTTACCAGAATTAACCTTACTTCAAATTCTTTCAACATTTCAGCTGGTTTTGTCAAGAGGTAAGTTGCCTAGTGAAGTCAACACTGGCTTTCTTTGATATCCTGGAGTCTACGAGGATCCTAAAAACTAAAAAGTAGTACTTTTTGCTTCTACTTTACACAATTTAAAAAATACATTGAATGGCAACATTGCAAATACTTTCAAAAGATTCTGGTTTATGTTAGGGACAGATCGACAAGCTACCACAGGACAAGCTAGGGTTGTTATCTTGCAAAATGCCAGGAAAAGCTGTTCAGCTATATGCTCTTATCCAGAAGTAGTTGATGATAAAAGCAATTAATGCAAGCTGTACATAAGGTAGCCAACTACCATGGGATAAGAACATACATACAATCTGCTGCATGAATAATGGCAGGCCACCAGTTCAGATACATGCGATTTGTCTGATTACTACACTTTTGACATCAAAGTGTAGCGGAGCAGGGCATCACTTTTTTAAGTATCAGTGTTGATAAAACATATAACTATATCCCAGTGAAGGATCTGCTTCTTGTTACTTTCTCAGAAGAAAATGTATTATTATGGACTTCGGTCACGGGCACTAGAAACACTTTGGTCTCTAGTATTTTCTTCCTTTGTTATAGTGCAGGTTTTGGGGGGTTTGCATTTTTGTGCCAACAGTCTTAAGTTTCTTTACGCAACCATGACAGCATATATACTGTGGCATTTGTTCCAGCAGAGCCCAGAGACATTCTTCTATAGCTGCCATCACGGAAGGCAAGGCGAGTAGATGACTTGAAGAGCACTTCTATGTTTCCTTGCAATTAACACACTGCCCACTTGACTGCAAACTGAAGTCTACTAAAAGAAGTCTCATTTTTGATACCAGACAAATAGCAGCCATCTCTTCTTTCTCAGACACATTCCAGCATGATTGCCAATAAAGAGAAAGTGTCTGCCAACACCTATCACACTGAAGTATTTGAGATACTGTATTGCAGCTTTTCCTTCAACTGGAGTGGGATGTGGATGTTTGCTTTATTTGTTTATAAGCTGTGTTCTATCACAGAATCACAGAACGGTTTAGATTGGAAGGGACCTTAAAGACCATCTAGTTCCAAGCCCCCTGCCATGGGCAGGGACACCTTCCACTAGACCAGGTTGCTCAAAGCCTCATCCAGCCTGGCCTTGAACACTTCCAGGGATGGGGCATCCACAGCTTCTCTGGGCAACCTGTTCCAGTGCCTCACCACCCTCTCTGGGAAGAACTTCCTGATATCCACTCTAAACCTCCCCACTTTCAATTTAAACCTGTTACACCTTGTCCTGTTCATTGTAGCTGATTGGTCAAATTCGGTGGTTTTACCAATGCAAACAAGGAAACTTCACCAAAAAGCTATTATTTTACAAGTGTCGCATACTGTGCTAAAATCCCTCTTACTGAAGATCTGCATCTTCATATGCACTTGAAGCATGGCTCTGGTGACGAAGATCTTTTCTGCTGCTTAACCTCCTTTGAAAGAGAGGTCCATACTGGCAGCAGAGATTGAAAGACAAGCCAAATACAAGGCTTGTTATGGAATCCCTGACAGTAATGATTTAACGGCTTCTCTTCTTGAAAAGAATTTAAATAAAAATTAATTAAAAACTGGCAAGACTTCTTTATAAAAATTTAAAACTACATTGATTCTTCAAATGCTATGTGAACTGCAAACACTGCAGGCCAGCAAAAGCTGGGTTTATACATAGATACATGTCTTTCCTTCCACCTGCTAAACCCAGACAAGTTCATTAAGAAGCCCTTCTTAATGAAATTTAATGAAAATAATGGAAGTATGACCAAGTCATTAAGGAAAATCAATGAAAGCATGACCAAGTTTTGTGAGTTAATACAGTAGCACACACTTCTGAAGTATGTCTTACCTCTGTGATACTTTTGTGTTACTGTTCTTTTTAGCTGCCGGTTTGTCAGGACACAGTGACTGCCTTTTAGCTTCATCTTCATATAACTCTGCCAAGGCCAACTGTAGGAAAAAGAACTCTCTTTAGAAGTCCGTAACTACACACGGGAGAGAAATAAGACCAAAGCTAATGCAAAAAGGGTGCCTCACCCGAAGATTACAAACATCAACACAGGAAACCCCAACCGCTTCTCTACATTCAAAATCCTTCCTGCTCTATGAAAAAAACCACATGATGCTTAATGTCACTGTGACTTTGAACTTGTAATCCACTGTCATTTGGTTCACACTGCTTCGCTGGCACATCCAGCCAGTATGAGATTCAAAACCACAAGAGTATATACAAAGGTATACATCAAGCATCACCTCATTAATGTTAACACGTTGAAATAAAGTCGCTAGGTAACCCTCTGCTAAGGCTGGGGAGCAAATAATAAATTTTACAGATTTTTTACCTAGAAATGGAAAAAACATAACTCAAATAAGCTTGTACTGGAATTAAGAACCAACTCGGCCTTGCTGGCTTGAGTTCAAGACATCGCTGCAAACACTTAAAAACCAGTTTTTCCCAAAGGTTCCCTAGCTGCTGCCATAACACTGGCAAGTTCAGTTTTCAGACATTGTGTGAGGCACATCTAACATGTCATTTTTAGCAATCTTACTGTTGTCCTGAATAACACTCTACTTTGGTCAAATCATCCTTTAGTTTTGTTTCCAAACCATTTTGTTCACACTACGCGAGTGGTATTAACATTTTATCGCATACACCAGAATTACTGGGCTACAATTTCATTAGAGTTTTATGTAGAAGAAATACACATTAAAATAAACATCATCTGTCCTTCAAAACACACTGCTGCAAAGACAGGATTTTTATCCCATATTATTGTGAGGGGAAAAATACAATCTGAGGAATTATACCCATTAAGAAAATTAAACTGAGTAATGACACAGCTCAAAAAACCTCAAAACACTGAAGACCTCTCTTCTGCATACAGATACAAGCAAGTATCTTTTAGATATGTAAAGCTGATGGGGTAAGTCACAGACCCCAAGTCCATAAGCAGACACTAAAAGCAACAGGCAAGCAGCTACCCTGAATTATCCCTAATCCAAAAACTGAAGGACTGTAAAAGGGCATGGTCAGGCTTCTGTGCTTTCCTTATGCCACACCTCCTACGCTGTCAGGACAAATCAAGTACTGATCTAGATGGATGGATGGTCAGCTACTCTGACCCAGGAGAGTACTTATTTGGTTCTTAAGATTTTATCCAGAATCATCTACCCAAAATGCCTGTTTGCTTCAATTGACCAAAACCCTTATGAACAAAGAGCATTAACACAGACTTTATTACAGTTACATACTGTAGTAAAGTTAATCTCAACAAGAAGGTATGAAAATCTTAAATAGTAACCAAGAAAAAAAATCACACTATATCCGTCTTTCTCAGTTAATTATGTACAACTAAATAAAATAGGGGCAGTTTCAGTTACTAAAAGTTCCACCTGTTTTCCAAGCAGCTTGTTGCTAAAGTATTTTGAACCTTCCTATAGTTTCAAAGTCACGTATAGAAAAGGAATATGCTAAAACTGTTCACAATTAAGCATTTAAGTACCAACGCTGAGTTACATCTGTGTCACATTCTCCTGAAACTTTCGCCACGTGAACCTGGGAAAAGACCTTTACCTTGGACTTACGCCACATTTGCGGAGACTTGTGTTTTCACGCGGGGAAGGACACTCCTACTAAAGCATCAAGAAATACAATGGCTCCAAAATAAACTCGGCATATCGTTGTCTGTTGCGATACCAACTGTACAACGAATCACAGACTGGTTTGGGTTGGAATGGACCTTAAAGATCATCTAGTTCCAACCCCCCTAACTTCAGGTACCCTTAGAACCCAGTTCCTGAAGGGTGGGGTGAGCCCCTCCCGCTCCCTGGGGCGCTGACCACCACCGCGCTCACACCCCCCCCACCCCCTACAGTGCCTAGCCCTCTTTCAGAGGCGTCCTTCCCTCCCCAGCCTCCAAAGGTGGGCAAAAAGGAAAGCAAAGACGACGACCGCCTCTGCTCGAATGCCCGGTCCTGCCTGGCTACCACGGGGCAGCCCCGACTGACAACGGGAGAGGCGGGGGAACCGCTCCCCTCAGGCGGGGCCTGGGGGAAGGCCAGAGGCGCCCCGCGGGGATACGG